CTTCTTTCACATCCTGCCCCCACCCTCTCCCAGAAGCTTTAAGGGTACCCCCAAGGATGTCTGTGCAAACATACAGCCTGATCAGGGAGCTAGGTCTCATTGGGGCTCCTGTTCATGAGAGGGAAGCTTCTGTTTGGTGGCACCCAGGTCTTCAAAATGCGCAGCCTTGGGCAGCATCTGCCACACTGCAGTTTTGGAAATCTTGCTTGGCAGTGCCCAGAGACGGACCCGGTGCTTTTGGCTTCACAGAGGAGACCAGGAGAGGGTTGGATGGGGAAGAAAGAAAGGGAAGAAGACCAGTTGATTGAGGGGTGTGTGTATGTTCAGTTTTGACTCCAGGCGATTGCCTGGACTGCAGGTAGTCCTCGACTTACAACAGTTCATTTAGTGACTGTTCAGATGGCTCTGAAAAAAGTGACATGACCATTTTCACACTTATGACCTTCGCAGCATCCGCATGATTGTGTGAGCAAAATTCAGATGCTGAGCAACTGGTTCGTACTTTCGACCGATGCTGTGTCCCAAGGTTATGTGATCCCCTATTGCGACCTTCTGACCGGCAAAGTTGACGGGGAAGCCAGATTCACTTAACAGCGGCATTACTAACTTATCAACTGACATGATTCACTTAACAACTGTGGCAAGAAAGGTTGTAAAATGAGGCCAAACTCCCTTAACTAATGTCTCACTTAACAATGGAAATGTTGGGTTCAATTGTGGCCATAAGCAGAGGACTACCTGTATAGTAGTTTCTACACTTTTCTTGGCAAGTTTTCAGAAGTGGTTTTCCATCGCCTGCTTCCCAGGGTTGAGAGAGAGTGACCGGCCCAAGGCCCCCCAACTGACTTCATGCCCACGGTGGGACTAGAACTCACCACCTCAGACTGCTGCCTCAACCACCACACCACAAATCTCTTGAATGTTATGAGAGCTGTAACAAAAGCACAGACCACCCCACCTGTGAGTTCCGGTGAATTCAACGGAGCAAAGGAGAGAAGCGTAGAATCTTGGGTTGGAAGGGCACCTTGGGAGTCTCGCAGTTTCACCCTGCCTTGGGCAGAAAGCCTGGGACGACTCCAGAGAAATGGCTGTCCAGCTTTTATTTGAAAGCCTCCAGTGATGGAGCCTCCATAGCACTAGAAGGCCAGTTCTTCCTCTGCTCCAGAGTCTGGGAGTCGGGAAGTTCCTCCTTATTTCAAGTATGGATCTGTAAAGCTTCCGTCCATCATCTCTTGTCCTCTGTCTTCACCCTCTCCAGAACAAACCCAGCCTCTCTTGTCTGTGACATCCCTTCATGTATTGCAAGGTTGCCAGCCTGTTTCCCCTTCACCTGCTGTTCTTGAGGCTAAACTCACCCAACTGTGGCTGCTCCATCACTGGAGGTTTTTAAAGAAGAGATTGGACAACCATTGGTCTGCAATGGCATATCATTTCCTGCCTGAGTAGGGGGTTGGACTAGAAGACCTCCAAAGTCCCTTCCAACTCTGCTATACTGTATTCCTCCATAAAGTTTATCTCCCAAGACTCTCACCATCTTTGTTGCTTTTCTTGGCTCTCTCATTCCTTTTTGTATTGGGCCCACCAGAACTGGTCACTATACTAAGTTTGGTCTGCAGTATTAAGTCACCCAGGGATGAGTGATTTTTGTGTGTGATCAGGGCCGGGGAGGCTGAGAAACCATGGGTTTCTCAGTGGAAATGGGTGAAAGGGGTGTGGTGGTGGGTGATTATTTTGGTACTGTGCCCTTCCCTTCACAACAGAAGATGCTGTTGTGAGTCCTTAGAAAAGCATCGGTGGAGTTGAAGGCTCCAGCATAGAACAGGGCCTTCTCCAAACTTGGCAACTTTAAAACTTGTGGATTTCAACTCCCAGAATTCCCCAGCCAGCCATGCCCCTGGCTGCCCCTTCCCATGACCAAGTATGCTGCAGGTCAGCCCATCTACCCTCAACCGCAAGGAGCCCCTCCACAGGATTGAGACCTCCTAGGTCCAGGCTGTCCTCTTCAAAAAGGTCTTGGGTCCAGCTGGGTGTGGACCTCTGCCCATGCCAGAAATTCCCTCCAGTCGCTCACCTTGGGCTGCCCAATTGCTCTGGGGAGGGTGACCTATTATTGGGAAACAGTGCCCACTTTATTTCGTGGGGGCATCTTGGTTCTGGAAGCTGCTGTTGCCCCGCCCCCAGTGCCAGCAGCAGCTGACCAAGCAGGTCCATTCAGGCGGCATTCTGGACAGATCAAACGGCCGCCCCATCAGGCAGGGTGTGTGTCCTGCCATAAATCTTCGTTGCCAGTCCACGTGGCGGTGCAGGTGCCCCCTGAGTCCATCTTCTCAGCCCTGCCAGGAAGGATTCTGCCATGCAGGGTGATGGGGTGGCAGCTTCTTCACAGCTGCTCTCAAATGGGGCCCGAGGAACTTTGAGGGGGGAAACGCTCTCGGCTTCTCATGAAATCAGCCATAGGATGGCAAATGTTTATTGCACCGAATGCAGAGGTCCTTGTGAGCACCACTGCTTTTTATAGCTGCATGGGAATGTCGGGAAGGAACATTTCTGCCAGAGGTTGAGGAGGGGGGCACATGACTATATAAGGTGTGAGCCACTGACTCTCTGTTGGGCCTGGAAGGACTCAGACAGGATTCCAGCTGGAGCCCAGAAGGCCTATTGCAGAAGCTCTGTCCCAGATTGGGGGGGGGGGAGGCAGGGGGAATGGGTCTTGTCCCCAGAGCGGGAGGCTGACTAGGGAGGGGCTGTGCTGCATCCAGTGGGTTAAAACCCAGGATGCAGCCGTCTCCTGTGGAGCTATACCAGGTCACAGTTGGCTGCTGCTGCTGAATTTTCGTCTGTGTCTCTGTGTGTCATACACAAGATCGACAGACAGCTGCATGTGGGGGTCAGCCCTCTACATAGAATGCAAGGCTCCCATGTTGCACAGGGACCCTCTGAACTTTCCAGAGGGGGAGGGTTCCCATTTCTCCTTTGCACAAGTCATTTGCCTTGAACTAAAACCTCCACAGCAGAAATATGAGTGAATGGCAAGGTTTTCTGAGCATGCACGGAGTGCAGCACTAATGAAAGGGCTCAGTAAGTGGGTCCGAGAACAGATTCAGGAAGGGCCCTTTTATGGAAGTGGGAAGGGAGCAGAGCCGCAAAAGGTTTGCATTTTCTGGCTTGGTGCAGAAGTCCGTCCCCACGGGGGTCTTTGGCACAGTCTGTGAAAACAAGGCGAGACGTGACCTCCATCGCGACAACAGGTCTTTTCCTGCAGCAGGGATGACGGCCTGGGCCCCCTGGAAGGCTTTTCTGATGAGAATCAAATGGGCAGACTCCCCACATTTGCAGAGAGGGGGCAGATGAAGGCTCCAGACCAATGTTTCTCAACTGGGACCACTTTAAGATGTGTGGACTTCAACTCCCAGAATTCCCCAGCCAGCCATGCTGCTTGGGGAATTCTGGGAGTTGAAGTCCACACATCTTAAAGCAGCCATGGTTGAAAAACACTGCTCTAGAGCAGGGCTCTCCAACCTTATCAACTTTAAGACTTGTGGACTTTTGCTTGGCTGGGGAAGTCTTAAAGTCTTAAAGTTGATAAGGTTGGAGAGCCCTGCTCTAGAGCAG